TTCACTAGGGGCCGTGGCATCACTTGAGCTGTTCCCTCTCAGGCCTCAACAAGGCCTTGGCCTGCCCTGGACAGGAGAACTAGGGTGTGAGGGGAAGGGGGTCTTGAAAGGCAGATTCCGGGGTCATGTGAGACTGACTTCACACGTGGTCATCTCTGGAGCGCATGTATTAGAGGGGGGCTGTGTTTTGAGCTGATCCTCAACTACGGGATGAGGCGAAGATATTGCTGTGGTTAGGTTAAGACTGGAGAAGGGAGGGGAAGACGACCTCCCATCTTTCCCCCTTTAAGTCTCTCGCCCCATTTTTTCCCTCTACTTTCCTGTTGTTCTTTTAAAAAAACGAGCTTTGAACCTGGTGCTGATAAATGGAGATAAAAAGGTCTTGACTGTGAGATTTATGACTGTGGAGAACGACCTCCAGCCCCTTGCCTCCCACGCCATCCCAGATCTGTCTCCCCGTCTCCGCTAATCTTGCCTCTGATCTCTCCTCCTCCTTCAGCCTGTTCATTCCCAAACTCCACTCCTTTCAATCAACCAGCCTACTCACAGTCTTCTCTGTTCATCCCCATCAATCTATCGACACTCTCAGGCCCTGCCTGTCTCCCCACCCTCGGTCTGTCCGTCTGCTCTTCGTGTGAGCTGCTTGGGAGGAGAGGCCGGCCAGTTCAGACCCCCAAAGTTCCATTTGACCCAACATTTCGTTTCCCTCCGTGGCCAACTGGTGGTCTTCAGGGAGCCCACAAGCAGGTCATGACTGTCGCCGCCAGGAACTAGTGTTCACAGCGCAATGTGGCCTCTAAGCTGTGGAGTCTTGTGAGCAGAAATTCTACTTTGTGAGCTACCGGCATTAAAGCTGTGAGCGAGTGACTTGGCGACTGCATAAATGAGCTTGCTCTGGAGCCATCCCTTCCCAAGCTAAGGCAAAAATGTGTGAGCTGGAAGCTAAAAAACTATGTGCTAGCTCACACTAACCCAGCTTAGAGGGAAGACTGTTCACAGGTATGCTGCCTCTGAACATGCAGGTTCTATTTAGCCATCACATCCATCAGCCGTGTATGCTGTATGCTAATTTGTTGCCCACCCTCTACCTATACGTATGGACTGGTAACTTCCATTTCATTCTGAAGAAGTGCATGTGCACGCAAAAGCTGATCCCTCGAATGAAACTTTGTTGGTCTTAGAGGTGCCCCACTGGACTCCAACTTTGTTCTTCTGCTTCTGGCCAACGCGGCTGCCCCACCAGATTCTGGCCAATAGCCACTGACCGCCCTAATTTCCACGCAATTTGTCTGGCGTCCTTTTAACGCTAGTAGAAACCTTTGCTACATTTTCTCACAGTGCCGTTTAAATCTTGCAAATTCATTATATGAAGACGTACTTAACTTTTGGCTGTTCAGAACCTGCTGTCAATCAATGTTATTGTGTGATCTCAAATTCTGGTGTTATGGAGCAGAAATGTTTAATAATGTATTAAAATAGTGTTATGAATTTTTGTCATCTGAAGAAGTGAGCCAGTGACTCACAAAAGCTCCAGCACTGCCACAGATTTGAAAAAAGCGTACCTTGAAAATGAAAGCTCATATTTTGGTAACTGCGGTGGCTCAAGTGGTTAAGACGCTGAACTGCAGGCTGTGGAAGGTCAGTAGTTCAGCAGTTCGAGACCCGAGTGCGCCGCATGATGGAGTGAGCTCCTGTCTCTAGTTCCAGCTTCTGCCAACCTAGTAGTTCGAAAGCAAGAAATTGCAAGTAGATAAATAGGGACCACTTCAGTGGGAAGGTAACAGCGTTCCGTGCGCCTTGGTGTTTAGTCATGCCGGCCACATGACCACGGAAACGTCTTTGGACAGCGCTGGCTCTTCGGCTTTGAAACGGAGATGAGCACCGCAACCCTAGAGTCGGATTTGACTGGCTTTCGAGCAAGAGAAACCTTTACCTTTTACCTCGAATAAGCCTTTGTTGGTCTTAAAGGTGTCACCGGACTCTAAATTTATTCTGCCACAAATTTGGTTAGTCTTTGAGGTGCTGCTGGGCTCTTCTGGTCTGTAGCCACGGTGGGGCATTTTGGGGGCAGAGCCCCCACCCACCCACAAGCCCTGCCAAACCACCTGAGGAGGCCAGACGCCCCCAGGAACCCCCACCCCTCCGTGTGCCTAGGCCAACAGCAGCAGCAACGCTGGGGAAGGAAAGGAAATCTGCCCTGCTGCTGGTGGTCCAGTTCACTCCTTGTCCAGTAGCTGTTAGGTCTAACAGCTGATCAGAGGGGAGTGAAATACAATTCAGGTTTGAAGAGCTGCAATTCATGTTTATTTTATTTTTTATTTGATGTTGTGTCTGCCCCACAAACAAAAAAATATGCCCCACAAGCAAAAAAAAACTGGCTACGGGCCTGGGGGCTCTTGCTATTTTTCTACTGCTACAGACAGGCGAACACGTCTGCCCATCTTGATGTCAAACTTCTATCGTGTAACTCCCACAACTGTAATTTAGTTCTTTGGAAAAGAAGTTCTCATTAGATTTCTAAAGAACGATATGCTAGGGCCTTTCTTTGCCCGAAAGCTACACGTTCTGATCAGAATAAACAGTGGAGAAGGAAGTGTATTCTGTACATGTGCAGAGGGATGCTTAGACGGTATATTTCACTGTAGAAATACATGATAGAGCAAGGCTCAGTACATAACAAAGTTCTTAGCTCAAATGAAGAACTGGAGGCAAGACTTAGCCTGGAAACTCTTTTCATGACAGGCAGCGTGGGGTAGTAGTGGTTAAGGTATCGGACTAGGAACTGGGAGGCCCGGGTTCGAATCCCCGCACTCTACCATGGAAAGCTACTGGGTGACTTTGGGCCAGTCAGTCTCAGCCTAACTGACCTCATAGGGTCGTTGTTGGGAGGTGAAAATGGATGACAAGAGAATGATATCCTAAGCTGCTTTGGAGAATAGTGGGGTATATTGCTGGCTAAGTAAATTTCAGTATTCATAAACCCCAGAACAGTGGCAGAAACAATCAAGAGAAGAGAGCCTTGGGGGGGGGGGACGCATTCAGGGTTCCCGCTAAGCTGAATTAGTGTGAGCTAGCTCACTGTTTTTTAGCCTCCGGCTCACACATTTTTGCCTTGGCTCAGGGATGGCTCCAGAGCAAACTAATATGTGCAGTAGCCAAATCGCTTGCTCACAACTTTCATGCCGGTAGCTCACAAAGTAGAATGTTTGCTCACAAGACTCCACAGCTTAGAGGGAACATTGGACGCATCATACCTTTCCTGCAGCCTGCACCTCGGGCTTTTGAGGGCAGGCCTCTCCCCGTGGAAATTAATTGCTGTGCCTTATCAGCTCGATCCATTTGTTTATCCCGGTCTTCAAAGCGCAGCTCTCCTGCCTCCATCGCCCTTCCTGCCTTCTCTGTTTGCATAGCTGTCAGCAGGTGCTGAGTGCCCAACAAGACACACGCTGTGTGGCAAGAGAGCTCCAAATTAAAGGGATGCAAAGCTGGGGAATGTCTGCAGCAGATGTGCTGATTTTGCATCGGTTTGCATGACGGGCACGCTTTGGACCAGTGGCCACCTTTCGGTTATCGCAGAAGTTGCACAGAACCTCCACCGCCCCTAAGGGCAATTGGGGTGCTGGGAGTAGGGGGGGGCGTCTGGGGGCTGTGAGATGAGGGAGCCTTCCATTTCCAGATGCCCATCTGCCCCCCAGACCTTTCTTTCCCCATGCTGTATTTCGGAAGTGCTCTTGCAGATGTGAAGCTGCTACCTCTGTAATACCACTACACCGCTAGTACACTACACTTTAAAACACTCAGCATTCCACAACTCAGGATACATCTGCCCGTCAGACATCACGCCAGACCCTCCTGTCTTCCGCTGTCCTCTGAAGTTGGCTCAATTTCATGTTCGTTGCATCTATGACACTGTCTAACCATCTCATCCTTTGCCGTCCCCGTCTTCTTTGACCTTCAGTCTTTCCCAGCATCAGGGTCTGGTAACCATATGAACTAAGCTCGTTATTCCTGTTTGGTCCTTGAATCTATTAAACATCTTCATTATGCCGTATGCTTATTTACTGCTCTCACCCTCTATCTATATGTCGGGACTGGTGACTTTCATTTGAATATATCTTAAGAAATGTGCATACACATGACAGCTTACACCAGGGGTGGCCAAACTGTGGCTCGGGAGCCGCATGCGGCTCTTTCACACCTATTGTGCGGCTCCTGGTAGGGCGGCTGGGGAATATCATTAGCAAACAAGTACCATTGGACAAATAAATATCATTACCAAGATCTGCTTTTACCGCTTTTGTTATTATTTTCGGCAGTCTCATTTAATGTTAATAAAAAGCAAATCTGCACATTTCCCAGTAAAAGAGTGTAATATCTGTTCAGGACTTGTGGCTCTCAAACATCTGATGTTTATTCTATGTGGCTCTTACATTAAGCAAGTTTGGCCACCCCTGGCTTATACCTTGAATAAAACCTGGTTGGTCTTAAAGGAGCCACTGTACTCAAACTTTGTCCTACTACACCTACCCCGCTCCCCCATATATCCTCCTGCGTTCCTACCCCTCTTCTGTCTTCCTTCTCCCCATCTAGCTGCCTCATGGTTTCCAATTCGATTTCCCAAATTCCAGGACCCACTGTGTGTGCCACGTCTGTTCCAAAGCCACATTTATTTTTAATGTTTGCATTAAACATTACTCTTTCGCTGTCCCCCCCCCCTTCCGCTTAGCCTCGTTTCCAAATACTCCGAATAAGTCCGGAAGTCCAGGAATGCGGGGAACTTCAGAAGACGATGCAAAAGAGTTTTGTGGGTTTGGGTGTTTTTTTTTTAAGATTCCTTTTCTCTCTCTTATTTCCTTGAGGCAATATTTGCCTTGGCTTCTAGATTCCCACCCCTCTGTTGCATTTGGGATCCTGCATCTTATTATTTTTTTTTAACCGCACGGTTTGTTCGGCTTTGCCTGAGCTCCTGACATCTTCGATTTCATCTTTTTATAATGCAGGTATAAATAAATAAAAAGATCCCGGGGCGCCACCCAAGGAGGGGAGGAGCGACGGCCGGTGACGAAGAGGCTGCAGGAAGAGAGGGAGTGCAAGAATCGGACAAATGAAAGGAGGGAAGAGGAGCAAACTTTCTGGGGATTTCTGAGAAAGGCCAGTGGACTTCCCGGACGTGGCTGGACGGAGCAGCGACAGGATCCAACTGTAGCGCCAGGAGGATATCGGCGGCGGGGGTGTGTGTGCGCTCTGTGGCTCTGCTTCTTTTGGCTCAGCCTCTTGGCAGAGGCAGCGGATCAGGGCGACTACAAAAGCAGGAAGCGAAACGGGACGGTCCTGTGAGTCACCCCCCTGAGCAGTGGAGAAGAGAAGGCTTTTCGGAAAGGTGAGTTTGGCCGGCTTGGCGGCTGGGGTGGCTTCTGGCAGGGCGCTGGGAAGGGGAGGCACGCGGCGCATCGACTCACGGATGCCGGCTGTCTGCCAGAGAGGGTGCGCATGCATGCGTCTGTCAGGGGGCTGGGTGTGTGTGTGTGTGGGGGGGGCTCAGGTGGCCCTCCTGGAAGGGGAGGAGAAATAACTCTGTGAGTGATTGGGAGCGTGGTGCTTAGGGCTCGGTGTCTCCATAAAACCTTCTAGCAAAACGGGCGTCTGGCTCCCGGTCTGTCTGGTGGGAGGAATGAGCCAGGGGTCATAAATCAGGCAATGGCTGGGCAGAAAGCGTGGGGTGGGGGTGGGGACTGTGGCTAAGCAAACAGCCCCCCCCCATCAGAGACCATTGGCACACGTTTCCCTGGGGTCCCAACACTCCTGCTTCCAGGGGAGCCCTCCCCTCCCTCTTTTCCGATTGCTCTCCCCCCAGGTGGCCTGTCCCCAAGTTCCCTCTTCTCCCCCCTCCTCTTTCCAGGGGTCCTGGCCGATGTTCCCAATGGCTGGGCAGAAAGCGTGGGGTGGGAGCTGTGACTAAGCAAACAGCCCCTCCCCATCAGAGACCATTGTATGGACGCCTTGGCACACGTTTCCCTGGGGTCCCAACGCTCCTGCTTGCAGGGGAGCCCTCCCCTCCCTCTTTTCCGATTGCTCTCCCCCCAGGTGGCCTGTCCCCAAGTTCCCTCTTCTCCCCCCTCCTCTTTCCAGGGGTCCTGGCCAATGTTCCCTCTAAGCTCTGGAGTCTTGTGAGCAAAAATTCTACTTTGTGAGCTGCCGGCATTAAAGTTGTGAGCGAGCGATCTGGCTGCTGCATAAATCAGTTTGCTCTGGAGCCCTCCTTCCTGAGCCGAGGCACAAATGTGTGAGCCGGAGGCTAAAAAACTGAGCTAGCTCACACTAACTCAGCTTAGAGGGAACACTGGTCCTGGCTCCTGGCCCACCAGATCCCACCTCCTTACCAATGATCCCCCTGCTCTGCTTTCTCCATTGTACTCTGCAAAGATTGTAAACCCCCTTCCCACGAGAGCCCCGGAACTCAAGGTACCCCAGTGCCTCGAAGCCCTGTGCCTGGTCTCTTCGCACACAGGCTGTCAACAATTCTGGCCCATCAGAGGCCGAGCAAGAGAACTGCGGAGTTATTCCCCCATGCCCACCCACCGCCAGTCATTTCCTAAACTCTTTTATCCAAAGCATTTCATTTTGGAGTGGTTTTTTTTTAATCTGGAAGGAAATTCCGTCATGGTCCTCCGGGGGCCAGGAACCATATCTGTCATCCGCAGAGCAGGGAAACGCGGAGGGGAAAGGGAACCGATATTTCTTCTCCCGGGAGGCTGCGGAGTAAGCCTTTCTGGCTCCACGCCAGGACTGAGACTCCAGCAGTCCCGGTGCTCGGCTGTTCCTCGCATCTCGCTAAGTTACTGGGCATGTGCACGTGCAATCGATGCGCACGTCTCATGTCATCCCCATGAACTTTGGTCATTGGGGATTTTGATGCGTTTCTCCCCACCCCCAACAAAAACACCTTTGCAAATAAGTGCACAAAGAGCGAGGGGGGCCGCTTCTCTTGTACTTCCTCACCCAAAGAGTGAACACTTGGAATTCACTGCCACAGGAAGTGGTGGCGGCTACAAGCATGGACGGCTTCAAAAGGGAATTAGATAAGCATATGGAGCAGAGGTCCATCAGTGGCTATTAGCCACAAGGTATAGATAGGGACTCTGGGGCAAGTGATGCTCTGTCATCTTGGTGCTTGGGGGGGTCAACAGTGGGAGGGCTTCTAATGTCCTGGCCCCACTGGTGGACCTCCTGGTGGCACTGGTGTTTCTGGCCACTGTGTGATACAGAGTGTTGGACTGGATGGGCCTTTGGCCTGATCCAACATTGGCGTCTCTTTTGTTCTCTTATGTTCTCCTGTCTGTGCCTCCTCCCTCTTTGGGACTTGGCCCATCAACCGCTTGATGGCTTTGTTATCAATCAGAGGGGTTCCTCCTTGGCCTCCACCCACAAATACCCTGGATAGCCCAGGATAGCCAGTTCTCATCAGATCTTGGAAATTAAGCAGGGTCGGCCCTGGTTAGTATTTGGATGGGAGACCTCCAAGGAACACCAGGGTCGTAGTGTGCAGGCAGGTAATAATAGCAAACCATCTCTGAACGTCTCTTGCTTTGAAAACCTTACGGGGTTGCCTTAAGTCAGCTGTTACTTGAGGGTGCTGTCTGTGGGACTGGCTTCCTCCGAAGAAGCCCTGCTTTCAGGAATTTGGCCCTTGTAAATGGGCAATCAAGAAATCTTTTACGGTGGACTTCCTGCAGTTAATGCGTCTTCTGTTGTTTTTTTTAATTGAGTTTTATGGGTTATGTTGTTGTTTTCCCACTGGCTTGGTTTCTGAGTGATTGTAATTCTTGGTCTAAGCTTTCTGTATCCTCCTTTTGAGCGTCCCAGACAGAAACAGGATGCCGGACTAGATGGACCACTGATGTGATCCAGCAGAGCCACTCTGACTGCAGGTTATGAACTTGCTAAGTAAAAATAACCATTTACATCCCACGTTCTTTTTTTTCCCCACTAGCCCATCTGCCCACACATACCTGCGCAGTAACCTAAAAGAAGAAAAAGCCACAAACGTTTGTAAAGCTTCACTGCTTGATCGCCTGGAGGCACTTCTGAACTCGCCACGGGTGATCAAGCAAGGTCTGGTATGCCTCGCAATGCCATTGCAAGAGGAGTTACACCCGTGTAAGCCCGTTGACTTAAATGGACTTAGGAGGGGATAACTCTGCGTAGGGTGGCACTTTTAGTGCCGTTTCTTTTATGTATGGAAAATGCCACGCTTCATCTGTATCCCCCCCCCACCTCTGCCCCGTGTATCTGTCACTGTTCTATTTAGTGTGTGGAATTTGGCTGCCTGTCAAGACACTTAATAAATATCCCCTGTGCTGCAATTACTAATTACAGTGTTTTCCCACTTTTCCTCCAGAGGGCTGGCCCAGGGTTATCCAGTAAGCATTGTTAAAAGAAAAAAACAACAACTGGAGACTGTGTCACTCCATTATAACGCATGCCTCCACCATTACCTTTCTTCCAAAGTGGGGCGGTGCAGGGTGGGGAGAGCCAAGCGACTCCTTCTGCATTTCCACCCCTTTCACACACACCCTCCCAAAGCCCTCTATTGATCTGACCGTTGGGTGTATTTACTTAAATTACCCATGTGTGCTGTTCTGGCATGCTGGTGCACGCACCCAATTACGTTGACAGGAGGTGGGCAGGAGTCCCCCCCCCCTTGGTATTCCCCGTCTACCTCCAGCGGGATCAGGGCAGCTATTTGTTTGGTTTATTGCAGAGCATCTTCTCAGTCCACCATGCTACTTTCAAGAATAGCAACACAGTTGGGTCTTTGGCCACAAAGAGCTTCCAGTGTTACATTATAACAGTGGTGGAAGTTAGAGGGAAGGAGTGGGTACAAGGCTGGGGGGGGGAGGTTCAGCTTGCAAAGGCGTTGCACAGAAGTTAACACTTTTGTTTGGGGTTCGAAAGCAAGAAAATTGCAAGTAGATAAATAGGGACCACTTCGGTGGGAAGGGAACAGCGTTCCGTGTGCCTCGGCGTCTAGTCATGCCGGCCACATGACCACGGAAACGTCTCCGGACAGCGCTGGCTCTTCGGCTTTGAAACGGAGATGAGCACCGCAACCCTAGAGTCGGACTCGACTGGCTTTCGAGCAAGGGAACCTTTACCTTTTTTTTACCTTGCTTGGTTTATGGTGACCCTGTAGGGTTTTCGAGGCAAGAGAAATTCAGAGGTGGGTTTTTGCCATTGCCTGCCTCTGTGTGGCAACCCTGGACGTCTTTGGTGGTCTCCCATCCAAATACTAACCAGGACCGACCCTGCTTAGCTTCCAAGATCTGACGAGATCAGGCTAGCCTGTGCCATTCAGTTCAGGGTTCCCAATCCCTGCAAACCCTGAAACAAATATTTTGGTATCTGAAGCGTTAACAGCTAGGGTCCTGGCAATGGAACCTTCCTGCATTCTACAGTGAAGGGAGTGTTGCCTACAGGAGAGGATTCTGGGAGACAGGGCTCCTGGGCCCTTTCCCCACCTCCTGCCAAGCCAGGTTTCTTTTCCCTACCACCCACTGCTGACTCGGCTTTCCCTCCCCCCTTTCCCCACTCCCGTCAGCACGTTTGATCTCTGTGGCAGGGAGAAACGCGGCTGGGTTTTCTTCTTGCTTTGCCTCCCGCCCCGCCTTCCTTGGGGGCCCCCCACATACACTTGCCCTGATCGTGACTCCTGCCCCCAACGGTAGTACCGGTAGTATGTCATTCCTGTGAAAAGTGACTCATCTCAAGCTGTTAGATCATCCTACCACAGGGACAGTTCTGTAGTATGGGGCATATTTGGGGGAGGTGAGAGACCCCCTGGGCAGTGTTCCCTCTAAGCTGAGTTAGTGTGAGTTAGCTCACAGTTTTCTAGCCTCCGGCTCACACATTTTTGTCCTAGCTCAGGAAGGAGGGCTCCAGAGCAAACTGATTTATGGAGTAGCCGAATCGCTCGCTCGCCGCTTTAATGCCAGTAGCTCACAAAGTCGAATTTTTGCTCACAAGACTCCACAGCTTAGAGGGAGCATTGCCCCCGGGGTGTAGGGGGTGTTTGTCTGTGGTTGCCAGCTTCTAGGCGGAGCCTGGAGATCTCCCAACATTACAACTGGTCTCCCGATGACCAAGACCAGTTCCCTTGGAGGGGAAATGGCTGCTTTGGAGGGTGGACCCTGGGGCATCACCTCCTTGCTGAACTGCCCTCCCCGGTCTCCCAAGAGCTGGCAATTCCAACAGGGAGGCCCTCAGCCTTCTTTCTGGCCCCTGACGCTCTCTGTTCTTGGGGTGATAGCAGAGGAGCACAGGAATCGGCAACGAAACTTTGCTCCTCTCTCAGCAGATTTCCAGTGTCCCCCCCCCCCATTCAAATGCCCGAGGGCTCTCTCTCTCCCTCCTCCTCCTCCTTTATGCCCTGGAACATCCTGCAGCCCAGGCCTCACAGCAACCTCCGTGTTCCTCCGTTTGGGGAACCGGTTAAACGAGCTGTTAGGCTGCGGACTCGACTCCGTGAGTGGGTGCAGGACAGCCCAGGCAGGGGCAAGGGAAGTTCTTCCCGGCGTTCATTCCTTTTGACGTGTGGCAAAATCTGCAATCTCAGCTGGGTTCCTAAAGGGACAAGCACCCCCGCCAAGTGCCGTTCTCCTTGGCTCCTTGTGATGTGGGAGTCTTGAGTTCAAGTCTCTGCTGGCCCCTGAAGCTCTCTCGGTAGCCTCGGAGCCACACTCGTCGCCTAACCTACCTCTCGGGATTGTTGTGGTGATAAAATGGGACGGACCCGTGCTCAGCATCCTGGCCTCCTTGGAGGAAGGGTGGGGGATGCATTTTTAATGGGAGAATTCTTTAAGCGATAAGCTGGAGGGCAGGGCACGCTTTGTTTTTGCCTTTTTCGTTTTCCTGCAGCACCCAGCAATTTTCGGCGCTTGATAAATAATAAAACACGCCAGCCAGTCAGAGACGAAAGCCGGCTTCTGAATCAGTTTGCTTAATTTAAGGCAGTGGCGCTCATTTGCAAAGGGCTTCTCTGCAGTCCTCCTGTTTGCCTCAGCGACAGTCCTGCGAGGCGGGGTCACGGCGGCGGCGGTTCCCGTTTTGCAGACTGAGCAGCTGAGGCCGGTGGGAGAGTGACTGTTGGAAAATGTATGTGCGGGTGTGAGATAATGACTTGCCGAATAATGAATTAGCAGCCTAGATCTCCCGGATCCCAGCTGGCTTTAATGGGAAGACTGCTCCCTGGTCCCCTTCTCACCTGTCTCTCGCTTTCTCCCCAGATGCCCATCCTCAAGCAGTCCCCCGTCTCCCACTCCAAGAAGCGGCCCCGTCTGGACCGGGCCATGATCAGCGCCCCTTTGGGGGACTTCCGGCACACGATGCACATCGGTCGGGGCGGAGATGCTTTTGGGGACACGTCTTTCCTCAGCAGCCATGGGGGCTCCAAGTCCAACGGGCTGGCCTCAGACGTCTCCGGGTCTCCAGAGCGCCTGTCTCTTTCTGGGGCGGATTCTGGCCCCTTCGAACTGCTGTCTCCCCCGGGTAGGGGGAATGGAGTAATCCAGAGCCCGGCGACTTCGACCCCTGAGGGGAGCTACAAGGTACGGCAGGGCCCGGAAATGGCCGAGCACCAGCCACAGGCGCCCTCTAATGGAGCAGGCTGGGACCTGCATCAGAAGGTCTCCTTGGAGACCCCCACCTTGGAGTACGGGGAGTCCCTGCTCTCCTTCCAGCTGGATCTCGGCCCTTCTATCCTGGATGAGGTGCTGGGAGTGATGGACAGAGACTGGGACAGCCTCAAGGACCTGGACCAGGTCCCAGTGAGGAGCGAAAGCCTGAGCCCAGTGGGACACCACTTCCACCATGCTGTTGACGACGAGGACGACGACGAGGACGACGAGGACATGGGGCAGGGATACAGCTTTGAGGATGAGCAGGATGAAGAGATCGGGCTATAGGCAGGGGGAGGGACGCCGGTCTGTCTCTCCTTGGCTTCTCACCTCCCCTCCCCCCGAAACACTCCTCTCTGCAGAGTTTCCCAGTAGTGGGCCGCCGGCCGCCCATGGGCCAAGCCTGCCCTGCAGACGACCGCCGGTTGGCCTGCCGCTTCTCTTTGGCCCTCCAAGAAGCCTTTTAGCTTTACACCTCTCCTAGCTGACTTCAAGAGGAAGGCGGACGGAGGCACGCAGGCTGCCCTCCCCCACCGTGACTGCCGCAGTCTCCCGTTTGAGGAAAGGCATCGAGCCGGTCTCTGATCTCCAAGTCTGGCGATGGCAATTGAAAGGGAAAAGGGAAAGGGACTTGGCTTCTCAGTCTGGAGATTGGTCTTCGGGCCGGCCAAGGGATAATGTTACAGACTGAACACTAGCTCTGAAAAACAGGGTTGCAGCGCATGCCCAGTAGCGCTTGCCCTTTCCCTCCATGTCTCGTATTCCCCCATGATGCCTGGGATGGTATAAACTCTTCCGTGTATGTGGTGTTGGCACCTGTGGAGAAACGCATCTCGGTTTCTAGCCACCTCGTGTCTGTAGAGCAGATGAAGTGGCGCAGCAGTCGACAAGCTGAAGAAACCCTCCGCGCCTCTGTCTTCTCATCTGGCCTTTGGTCTCTCGGGGCTTCCATCCTTTACGCCCCACCAGGACAGAGGTTCTGTTTTACTCGGCTGCTGGTCATTCTAGTCTAGCCGGGGAACAGTTTGGGTAGAGAGATGGGAGGCAGGGACAGAGGGGCAGTCTGTGGTGTGGAAATAGCTCAGCAGCAAGAATAGCAGCCCCCCGTTGCTTCGGCCGGGCCCAAGACAAGTGACCCTTGTGCTATAACCGGGGGCTCAGCTTGGCTTGTTGCTCTCTGCCAGCTGTCCTTCCCGGTAGCAGCATACCTGGAACTTTGTCAGTAAGCTGAAGGGACAACCTGCCCCTGGATGGATGGTGTAATAACTTATGCGCTGGGAAAGGAAACGATGGGCAGATAGGAAAGATCCCTTCGTTTATCTCTTTGTCAGTCTCCATCTAACTACCCTTCTGTTTCCCTACCTAATATCTACTGGACTGGACTGGGTAGCCATTCACCCGTCTTCTAATCTGTGTCCCCCATCTTCGCACCCACCTGTGTCTGTCTGTCCAGGCACCCATTCATGGGTTGAAGGGAAGGCAGAGAGAGCCTCTTTTCAGGCTGCGGCTGTACTGCCAGCACTGCAAGGCCTCCCTTGCTGTGAGATTCGCACTCTGCTCTAATGTAAAATCAAAAGGCAGAGAGAGCCTCTTTTCAGGCTGCAGCTGTACTGCCAGCACTGCTGTGGGATTCGCACTCTGCTCTAATGTAAAATCGAAGGGGAGGAAGACGGGGGAGGAAGATGCTAAGGAATTCTGAGAGGAGGAAGTTGAGGGAAATGGCTTGCTTTTGGGTGAAGGCAAACACGGGAGGCGCTTCCTTGTTTATGTTCCGAGGGAGGCCGTCAAGAGAGGATTGGGTGGGTGCGTGAATGAATTAAGGGTGTTTTTGGGCATAATGTGACCTGATTGCTGGGCAGGTCTGTAAGTAAGTTGGCCTAGTACATTTGAGTTTTAAAAAAAAATCTCCTCCAGGCTAGGTAGGAAGGGAACCTTTAGTAAATTGGAAGGAATTTCTTCCTCCTCCTCTCCCCCCCCACCCGCTTCAACCCATCAGTGTTCCACAAATGACTAACACAAGTATGTTTGGGCAGAGTGGCTAGTAACATTTTACCGAGGGCTAGTCACTTTTGTAGACTTATTCGCAGAGGGGAAAACCGGGAATGAAATAACTGGCTGGAGGAATAACATACTTCCCCCCCCCCCCAGAAGCTGTGCTGCAACCCAGGTGAGTGATTGAGTTGACCAGAGTTGCCTCGGCGGACCGCGCCTCTATCCGGCGGGAACTGGACGGCATTCTGAATGGGCTTCTTCAAGCCAAGTGCCGTTTAGGAGACTCACTAGAGATGAGGATGAACTGTCAGGGAGCTCACCGGCTCATACTGGACAACAGACCCTTTTGAAAGCTGTGATTCCAGAGCCCCCCATTCATCAACCTAAACCGTCTGTCCTTCTGCCCTTTGGTTATCCTCTGCCTCTTGTTAGAACGACATTCCTTGAAACACACAGACGCACCAGCCTTTAAACGTCTCTGGACCTGTCTGCACCAATCCCACTGACAGATACTCCTTTCAACTCTGGGTGCCTCCAAGTCCGCACGTCTCTGGAGGAGGCAACTGATAAGCCATTGGGAGGTCCACCCACCCGTTTCTCCCACATCAGCAATGTCTCCCGAGTTACCCTTCTCGCTCCTCCCTTGGTGCCATGGCTGGCTTCCTCCCTCCCCTGCGCTTCCTTATCCATCCGGCTTCAGCTGTAGTGTGATACCTAACCACTGCATCACCGAGGAATTTAGTTACCCTTTAACACAGTTCCTACCGACCAGGTGGTTTGGGGAAAGTGGGTTGCTCCCTGGCTCCTTTGTTGTGTGCTTACAGAGGGGGGATCTAATCTATCTTAGGGGTTTTCCCTTTTGTGTACTTATTGCAGATTTTGTTAAGCCAAACTGAAGAACGTCTGATGGTAAAATACACGGGCAGGCATTTAACCACTGCAAAAATAACTCGTTTCTGTTTGCCCAGCTGGGCTTTGGCCTCTTTCTCCTCCTGTCCGTCCTGAATAATAGGGGCAAAGCTTTAAATATCTTGGAAGGGTGGTCCTGAGCAGTGTTCCCTCTAAGCTGAGTTAGTGTGAGGTAGCTCACAGTTTTTCAGCCTCCGGCTCACACATTTTTTTTTGTCTTAGCTCAGGAAGGATGGCTCCAGAGCAAGCTAATTTATGCACTAGCCATATTGCTTGCTCACAACTTTAATGCCTGTAGCTCACAAAGTAGAGTTTTTGCTCACAAGACCCCACAGCTTAGCGGGAACATTGGTCCTGAGTAATGTTATCACCACAGATTTTTGTCGTTAACTTGTCCTGTCTATGCATGGCAAGCCTTTGATACGGCGCAGGGCCTTTTGCCCTACCCAGATCAGTTTTGTAAGTGAGACCTGACGGGGTTGGAATCAGCAGTTTTGATCCTGTTGAAAGCAGAGCATAACTTCCGTCAGGGGAGTGGCAGGAAGGTTTGATTTATTATAGTATCCGCATGTTGTGTTCTCTGCAGTCAAGAGTGGAATCTGGAATGTTGGGGAGAAAGGTTACCGAGAGGGGAACTGGTTGTGTAGTAGGTTGTGGTGGGGAATCCAGGACAGTTGGAGGTCCTTTGTTGTTTACGAAAGGAAGGGCCTTCACTGGCTAAGGCAGGTCAAAAGCTTATCCCAGTGGGACTTTCCACAAAGGGAGTCGACCAGAGCCAGTGAGCCTGGGAAACAGACTCCTGATGGATGCTCCAAAACATTCGTGCTGAGCCTACATTGGCTGTAGGCAGGCTGTACTTGAGGTTCCACCACCATTTTCTTTTGCTGCTGTTAAGATATCTTAAGAAGAGGGAGTAGGGGGGAGAGAAGCGGACCTATGAGAAATAAAACGTTGGCTTTCCCCCAATGCAAGTTTGGATTCGAGCGCCCCCACATTTGTGTGCTCTAAAAGGAGCCAGGGAGTCTTCTAAGCAGAGAGCTAGGATTCCCGTGAAGGGCCAGTGTGTGAGCGAACAAGACAATTGGTGAGGATTAATAGTGGGGGGGGGGCGACCCCGGTGTATCTCCTATTTTATGCTCTACCCTATTATGTCGAGAGGTGGTGCACAGTAGTGGCTAAGAGGCCGAAGCCCTTGTTCGAATCTCTGCCAAGCCACTTCTAGCCTTGGTGTAGCCCATTAGCAGTATGGGGTGAAAAATTCCTACCCTGCACGATCTCTGCAAGGATTCCAAGAAGCAGACGTGTACGTGAGGCTCCTTAAATGCTCGGAATGCTGCAAATGCTAAAGTATTATGCTGTCTCAGCAGTTGTCCTTTTCTCTCCCTGTGTCGACTGTCTTTAAACCAGGAAAGGTGGACGCAGTTTCCTTCTGCAGGGGGTTGTGCTTCTCCCCCTCTTGATACGCTGAAGCTGTTTGAAGTAAGCATCGAGGAGGTCCAGCCACTGACTAGGGTTGCCAGCTCTGGGTTGGGAGATTCCGGGGGCAGCCCAGGAGGAAGGGGGCCCAGAAGAAACACAAGGGGGCCAGGCCCCCTGGGCCCCGTGTTAGCTGCGGGCCAGGGGTGGAGGCTGGGGAGGGCGGGGTTTGAGGCTGGGGGAAGGGGAAGGGGAGGACCCCTCCGTAGGATAGGATGCCATAGAGTCTACCCTCAAACCCAGCCGTTTTCTCCATGGGGAACTGATCTGTGATCAGGAGATTAGTTGTAATTCTGGGTGATCTCCAGGCCCTGCCTGAGTGTTGGCAACTCCCCCCCCCACTGTGAAGTAAATTGGGGTTGAGTTCTGATCACCATTCCCTGGGAAGGGTGGCCACCCCTCTCTCTGTGTTGTCATTTATCTCCTTCCCCCTCTAAGCTCAGAACCTCTGATTCCTCTGTCCCTTTGTGACCTTGATGGTCCCTTGCAACAAGACGGTCCTCTTATGTATATCTATTATTTTGTAATAGCTCATTTTATGGATTCCTATGTATAAAAATGTCTATCATCCATCCCCCCCCCCCCCGATCATGTTAATTTTCATTCTGGTAGCAGAATGTTCGAATGGTGACCAAAGTGTTCAATATTTCTTGTAATTAAAAGCAAATTTAGTTTCAGTGGCTTCTGCCCCTTTCTTTCTCCCCATCTGGGTATCCACGTTTCTTGCCGCGCTTCCAGGCAAAGGGGTTTTTTTTGGGTTAATGATCCTCTGAATCAGCACTGGACACCCATGCCGCAGCTCGCAGGCCGTCCGCCTAGACGACGGCGGTCAGTGTTGGTGGCCCTGTACTGTCTACACCCAAGTAGCCCGGGATTCCAGAGCACGAGCCATCCAGTCAAAAGTGGCAAGGAGGCACCTGGTGGCACCTTGAAGACTAGCAGATTGTTTATGGTAGTGTGTAATGAAGTGCTGGGACGGCAGATCGCTCCAAGCCCCTTTTGCATAATGCGTCCATGTTTATTTCTGCAGGGTGGCAAGGGCGTGAGTCTAATGTGTGCAGCCCGAGTCTAATGTATGCAGCCCGGCAAAAATGCCCTTGCTCCAATGTGGGTTGTTTTTGGTGGGGGTTTTTTGGAATCACCTCTCACCATCTCCTCCTGCCGTTCCTGTACAATGGGTGGGTTTTGTTTTTTTAAAGTGTCAGCAAGAAGTTGGGAGGAAATCTCTCGAGGGACGTCACCGCCGCTGACTTGGCTGCATCCCTGGTGGCATGGAAGCCATTTTGTGCTACCCAGGTCTCTGGTAAGTGAAATACGGCAGTAGGCATGGGAGGATTCTTGTCTCTTTGATGCCGCCACAGAGATAGTGAGTCATGCGCTCTCCTTTAAAGCAGAGTGTTATCTTCACAGGCAGGGCGGGGAGATCTGGGGTTTCTTTCGTTTAATCTTTCGTTTCAATATATTATTCCCAGCAGAGCTTTTTTTGGTAGAAAAAGCCTAGCAGGAACTCATTAGCATAATAGGCCACACCCAACAGCAGAAACTCATTAGCATTAGGCCACACCCCGACAGTGCAGCTCAGTAGCATATTAGGCCACACCCCTGCCTTCCCTTAACTTGCCTGGACGCCCCGCAGCTGCGGGGAGCCCGGAGAAGCAGGCCTTTGGACAGGCCAGGGGAGGCCTTTAAATCCCTCCCTGATC